TGAGTTATAGGAGAGAAGCCAGGCTCAAAGGGGCTAGGTCACGTGTCTGGTCACTTGGCAGCAGAGCTGGGGCTCCAGCTGAGGGGGTTCATGTTGAAAGCTGGGGCTGGAATTTCCAGCGTGAGAGAGGCAAAGGACATTCCCACATTCCTGGGGGTGGGAAGGGGCTTGTGGCAGAGCCCGTGGCAGTTCAGAGCCTGACCGGGAGCAGAGGGGCTCGGGCAGTGGTCACGGCTGTCATGTAAGCACACAGCCCCTGCCCGGCGGTCCGGGAACTCGGGCACATCGGCGGGATTTGCTTGTATGGGATGCTTCGTATCTCTTATGCTCTGAAAGCCACAATCTGCCATGGCTTCGCCTTGCCGCTCTCCTTCCGAGGAGGTGAGAAGCGGCACTTAGATTTCTCAGCTGCTCCTCCGTTATCTTCAGGCAAGTCCGGCACCTCGTCAGCTCTGGGCCTTGGCTGCAGGGAGTACTGCTTTTTTCTTTGGAAACCTTATGGCCATGTGCGCTGCTCACAACAGTGTGAGGCTGCATTTTGTTGATTAGAGTTGTGTTCCTTTGTCTGTGTCCTGGTGTTAGTTACATCTCTGAAGAGAAGTTCGTGGGGTGGCTTTAATCGTTCCTTCTGGGGTGGGAAGCACTGACTAGTTCTCTTTAACGTTGAAACCAGCTCACTGTGTGCTGTGCACTCTGGAGTTCTTGCTGAGCTCTGTCTCCGTGTCGCCAGGGAACCAAGACACACGACTGGGTAATGGTAGAGCATACAACGTGCTGGGTGCCCTGAGCAGCCTCCCGACGCTGATGGCGAGGTCTCCTTCGGGGTGTCATTAAGGGGACTGGGGCATGGAGTCTCCATTGCCTGGGCAGATCATGCCCCAGGGTGAGCCCAGGGGTCGAAGCAGGAGGCAGGTCCTGTTCCTACCCCACCGGCTGTGTGACCCAGGGTGAGTCGCCCACCCTCTCTGGGTCTTAGATTTCCTGGCTGTGAAGTCAGGGGGCTCGACTGGCCCGTCGTGGAGCTGCTGAGATTCACTCGCGGTCTCCCCTCTCCCCTGGTTGGCACTTGGGTCTCTTATCCATCTCTCTCTAACAGGGGACCACAGAGGTGGCTGCTTCCCCTGGCCCCCACATGTCAGGGCGGTGTCTGTGAGGACGTCAGGGACCTGGAAGCCTGGCGCCCCACAGGTCTCTCATGTGACTGTGGTGCAGGTGTCAGCAGCTGGGTCTTATCCGAGGACTCGCCTGGGGAGGGGGTTGCCCCAAGCTCCAGACGAGGTTGTGGCAGGACGTGGTTGGCCCGAGGCCTTGGGGTCCTCGCTTCCCTGCACGTGGGCCTCTGAGCGTGGCAGCCAGCTTCACTGAAGCCAGTGAGACTGGAGTACCTCAGATAATGTAATCACAGGACAGCCCGCAGCACAGAGGGCTCTGCTGTTTGATGGCCGACACCCAGGGGAGCTGGTCCTGTAGGCCGTGAGGACCTGAGTGCTGCCTGCCTGCCACGGGCTGTCCTACCTCCTGCCCTCGTGCTGCTGGGCTGACCTTCCACGGGCTCTGCCTCCTCCACCTCGCTTTTCCTGTCTGACACCCAGCACCACCCCCAGTCCGGTGGGGTTATGTTTCCCGTCTCTGCCTCATTTACGCAGGAATCCCTCACTGCTGTCTTCTGCTGATTCACGTTCTGTGCAGCGCCAGAGGCCATCCTGGGTCCCAAAACCTCATGATCCCTTTCTCTGGCTGCTCCAGCCGGACCAGCTCTGTTTTCTCTGGCGCGTCTGGACCTCCCTTGTTATCTCTTACCGTGTGGCCTGGCCACAGGTTGGCTGCTATTGATTTGCAGTTACTAAATCTCCGGGCTCGGTGTCCTCATCTGTGAAATGGGTCTGTTAGTATGTATCTCATGTGCCTGCAGCGATTCTGCTGGGACAGGACCACGCAGTAGCTGATGACCAGTTGGTGTTGCCAGCAGAGTTGAGTGCTGCCTCTTGTGGGGCGTGCTCACCTTGCAGCAGGTGGGTGTGATGTGGGCCGGGCACTGACCCTCCACCAGCTTCCCCCTCCGCTGTACTCAGTGTGGCTGGAGCCACTCCATGTACTTGCTCATGGCTGCACGGCTGCTTGCTGGTTGGTCGATGGTCGTTAGTTACGAACTTGCTTCCACAAGCTGGCGTCCGGGAGACTGGTTCTGCAGTGTGGGCTCCGGAAGCAGACAGTGCTTGTCTCCAGGGAGTCCTGATTGCGGTCACAGGAGTGACACAGATGCTGAGAGCTTGGTGACGAGGCTCACCGGGCCTCCCTGTTGGTTCTCCGCCAGCCTTGCGGGGAAGGCGCTCTGTCAAACGTACATGACCTGTCTTCTGAAGGTGCGACCTTATGTTTTTATCTTTCTGAAGAGTTTTGATGAATCTATTTGTTTAATAGAAGATTAATTAGGGCACTGAGTGCTGATTAGTTAGAAAATATATCCAACCCTTTCATATTCCCTGATCTTACTTAATTCCATCTTCATAAAACTGAAATTGCACCTGTAGGAAGTTTGACTTAATTTTTTTCCATAATGGGAGATTACGAAAACATATCTTAGCTGATACTGTGTATGTGGAGGTTAAAACGAGTTAGAACAGTCAGGGCCAAGCATGAGCTCACCGCGCGTCTCTAACATACATTTTAGAGCTGTTTTTAGCATCTGAGGTCATGTTGCTCCTCCGGAAAGCATGCTCGTCGCTGCTCTTGGGACAGTTTGTCTTTGCCTCCTGCCCGATGCACTTGCTCACCATCCTTGTGTAGCTCAGGGTCTGGGTTCCTATCATGAATTACCTGCCGGCAGTTCTCTTTCCTCTGTGGCTTGGTGGTGGTGGCTCTGGCATGGTGGGTCCCGTGTGGGCTCCGTGTGGGACCACCTGCCACAGACCCTTATGCCTCGCATTCTCCACAGGCCCCAGTGCCTGGGTCGCTGAGATAGCTGGAGAGGAAGAGAGGGCAGAGCCGCATCCTTCATCAGCACAGTGTTGCTCCCGGCGCGGTTACTGCGCAGGCTGCGTGTTCTTGTCACCCCACCCCGTTGGCTGCTGCTGACTGGTCCTGCTGGATCTTGACAGGCTGAGTCAGGCCACATCCCTCCCTGGGAATTTATGATGAGTCTCGGGGTCAGCTTGGTCTTCTGTGGGTGTCTGTGGGGTGTCAGGTGCTCTGGGTGCCCCTGTCCCTGCCTGGGGGCTGTGAGGACGCTGGTCCAGAGGGTGCCAGAGAAACTCCGAGTGGGTGTGGACAGGTGCAGGAGTGAGGTGTGGGGGCCCTGTTGTCTGAGTCCCCAGTGCACATGGTTCCTGACATCGCCCTGAGAGCCTGTGGGGTCCTGGCTCACCAGCAGCCCCCTTTTCTACTCCCCCGGCCACTCTGCCCCATGACCACTTGTCTGACCTCAGCTCTTCTCGCCACCACAGGACTGGCCTCAGGCCCTGTCTTCCAGTCTGTCCCACGCTGCTGCCCACGGTGGCTCTCTGTGGCCTGCCAAGATCTCATGGCACCTGTGTCGGCCTGGCGTTCACGGGCACTGGTGGCTTTCGTGCTGAGCTCAGCCTGGAAAGGCCCTCTGTTCTCCCGTCATGTTGTGTGTCTCGCCTCTGCCTCTGTCTCTAGCCTCTGTGCCTTCCATTTCTGACTTTCTGCATCCTCGGCACACCTCGGCCTCCCTGCATGATAGGCCACGTCAGTAAGACAGGAAAATGGTGTTTTTTTGGAGAAAGATTTTCTGGGACAAGTCGATCCAGGAAACCTTGTAGAGAAGGGGGAAGTGCCTCCTGGGTGGGGCAGGGGAGTGTGTTCCGGGTGGGTGGCCATCGCTGCAGTGCTTCCTAGAATGAGGGGGTCACTTGGAGAAGGCGGTCTTATAGATGTGTCCTCCATCACGTTTCTTAGCTGGGCCAGTCTCCCCGGGGAGGAAACGGGTGCTCTCCCCCAGGTGTCTCCTTGAATCCCCTTGCACTGCCGACAGACTCTATAGGGCCACCCCAGACCTGTTCGTTTTGAGTCTGGGGGCTCACCCTGACCCTTGCTGCAGGGGCCCCGATACAGCACTGAGATGGCTGCAGAACCCAGGGCAGTCACAGGGGATGCTCACTGCCCCCTGTGACTCCCTCAAACCTCCCTCAGGCCCTGCCCAGGGCTCCTCCGAAGAATGAGGCTGGTGTTCAAGGTAACATGAAGGAGGTGATGCCCCCAGGGGATGGGTGGCACAGAGCTCTCCCTGCCTTTAGAAGTCACCGTGTGGGCAGAGTCAACCCCAGATCACAAGAACAATGTGGCCAGTGTGATACGTCTTTGCGCATCAAGTGCCACGTGGGCCAGTGGGCGTGTGGGCAGGGACACGCGTGGCAGGAAGCTCTTCTCCCCACTCAACGGCCGGGAGCCCCTCGTCTCTCAGGCTGTGGAAGTGCTGGCCCAGAGACAGCTCCAGTGGGTCTCACGAGGTCTTGGCCAAACCTCCAAGGAAAGGAGCTGGAGGCCTGGGAGTGGGAGGCTGGGTCCTGGGACCAGCATCTGTCCGGGCACCGCGAGTGGGAGGCTGGGTCCTGGGACCAGCATCTGTCCAGGCACCGCGAGTGGGAGGCGTGGGTCCGGAGACCAGCATCTGTCTGGGCACGTGCACCCCCCTGGCCCATGTGTGCCTTGGGGCAAAGCCAGGTGCTTGAGGTGTTGGATGGTGCTGCCCTCAGGTTGGAGCTGATGATCCAGGCACAGCCTAGCAAGTCCTGTTTCATACAGGGCCTATTAATACGCTTTCTATTTTTTGCTGTGCTCAGTTTTAGAGTTTTTTTCCAAATAAGGTTCAAATAGTTTTGCCTTTTAAGGGAAGGAAACAAAGACAGAGCTTGTTAATTATTTTCAGTAATTATTTTCAATAATATCCTGTGAATACAGGATGTCCTCTTAAGTTTTCAGAAAAAAGGTTCACATTACTGCTTTTTTCTTCTTCCCTTGAAACCCCATCAAATTTGCAGCTGGCCAGTTCGGCCTCCCTGGAAGGGAAGGGGCAGCTGAAGTTCACCTCCGGTCGGTGGAGTCCTCACCACACTGGCACCCAAGTGGCCACCGCGAATGACACAGCCATCCGAGGGTGGGACGCGCGGAGCATGAGGTCAGTGACGGCCCGAGACCCGCAGGCGCGCCCCTCTCCATGGGCGGTCCCGGCTCCACAGATGCGCTCCTCTCCGTCAGCGAGCGGGCGGTCCCGACCCCGCAGATGTGCCCCTCTCCATTGCGAGCGGGCGGCCCCCGACCCCGCAGACGTGCCCCTCTCCATGGGCGGTCCCGACCCCGCAGTTGTGCCCCTCTCCATCCGCGAGCGGGCGGTCCCGACCCCGCAGATGCGCCCCTCTCCGTCCGCGAGCGGGCGGTCCCGACCCCGCAGATGCGCCCCTCTCCATCCGCGAGGGGTGGTTCCGACTCAGAGGTACCTGGGGTACCTGGCGTGTCTGTCTTCACCTCGTTTTTCTGCAGGAAGGCATGCATCTCGTTTTGTTTCTCTGGCCCGGCTTGAGCCCGTGGCCCCGTGGTGGGGGCACAGCATTCCTCACTGGCTCGTTTACTGTTCCGTGTGGTTGCCCCTTGAGTGGGTGCTGGCCATTCGTAGTGAGAATCAGGAGTGGGTTTCAAAACACCTCACCCAGGAGAGGGGGACCGCCGGACTCTCGGTTGCTGGGATTGGCAAGCACAGGTGGGCAGGTGCAGCCCCACGTGAAGTTTGTGGACTTGCCTGTGACAGTTTCTGGGCCTTTAAGATCCGCCCCTCTCGGGGAAGCGCGGTTTGTCCTGTAAGTCATTATGCTCAGCAGCCAGCTCTTCTAATGGAACAAATAAGAGCGATTTTTCTGTTCCAGGTGTGGTTTGATAGGCAAAGGAGTGATGGTGTGCACATCTGTTGCCGTGGCAACGGGAGCCGTGCAATCGCTCTTAAGATACAGTTTACCCCTCAGCACGCCGTAATTTATCACCGAGCTGCAGAGACGGACGTCACCAAGTAATGTCTGCTGTCTTCAAGGGGGGGCACAACTTTAAATTTAGGTCTGCGGCCCCTCTGAAAACTCAGCGGCTAATAAATTAATCAGTTGCCACTTCCTCAGGGTGTGTGTGTCTGCACGAGGGGTGTGTGGTTTTGCTGCCCGAAGCTGGGAGCAGGGGGCGCCGAGCCCGAGGAATGTGCCGCCGGAGAGCCATTTCTGCGAGTTCCGGGGCCATCTTTCCCTGTGTTTGCATTGTTCTTTAAAGGATGTGAGGAATTTCAGTATCTCAAGACAGGACGTTACAGCCCCCACACAAAGACAGCAGGCGTGCCTCTATGTGGCGGCACCTTCCTTTGCCCAGTTCTTTCCCCCGGATGATTCCTTGCTGACTGTTATTTCTTCTTTTGCAAACAGCTTTGGTTTTTATTTAGCCAGGGTGCTTTTAATGTTGCTCCTGGAACGTGTTGTGCTTTTGTGTTGAAATCACTGCCCTCAGGGCACGCAGAACACCCTCGGCTGGTGCTCCCTGCGCGTGTGACTATCCGCCCAGCGCCCCACGACCTGCCAGGGCTTTAGTTTTGTACAGTTGCCCATTTCACTTGGAAGGTCTTCCTTCCAGTTTGGGGTGTCTTCTTTCAGGAAAAGATGAGGATGTTGGAAAAGCACAGGATATAAACACCATTTCAAGATATAAAGTGGTTTAGGGTCAGGAAGTCCAGCGTGGGAGACGATGGAAGGGAGTGAGTTTACTCACCTCGAGGGTGGAGGAACGTGCACTCGGCATGATTGTCAGATGCGTAGGGTGATTACAGGCAGCTGGGCCATTGCTGGCTCACTGTGCGCATGGCAGCCGGGAAGCCTGGGGAGAGGGAGTGCTTGTAGGGGAGGCTGAGTCACACCCGGGGGAGGAAATGCGCAGAGCAGCAGTGGCCTCGCCCCCCTGACCGGGTGCGGGACTTCTGGTTCCAGCCGTTGTCCAGCCTCACTGGATGACCTGCTCCTCTGTTTGGGTTTCTGACATTAGAAGGATGTAATTGACCAAACATTCTAATTTCACACCTTTTGAGGAGCCGCTCGGAACAGTGGAGGTCAAGAGTTCAGCTAGGGCTGTGCGTGCGTGTCTGTGTGTGCACGTGTGTGATGTGTGTACATGTGCCTCGTGCGCACGTGTGTTTGCAGATGTGTGCATCCGTGTGTGTGTGCACATGTGTGTATGAGCACACACACCCTAAACAGCTGAGTGACTGATCGTAAAACCACCCTGCGTCTCCGCGTTGCACTGAGCCATGGCGGAGTTGTGTTGGCACTGCGAGGTGCTGAGAACGGATGAAGGACAGCCCAGCCGTGACACACACTGTCCCCTTCATGGTTTGTATTGCTTTTCTAGTATTCTCTTCCCTCCCTCCATCTGTGTCTTCCGACTCCACCAGCATTGTCCTCCCAGCCCGCTGCTGACCGTTTGCTTTTCTCTCTCTGTGTCCTTCTGGAGCTGGGTCAGCTCTCCTGCCTTGGCCCCGCTCCTCGTGCTGTCACAGTCCTGCTGACTTGCTCTCTTCCCGAGGAGCCAGGTCATGTTTGGGACAGTTAGGAGCCAGCATCGCCTCCACAGCTGCGGGATCACAGACGTGCTCCCAGAGAAGCCTCAGCCTGGGTCCCCCTGGGAGAGGCCCTGAGGGGGGCATCACCAGGCCCCTTAGCACCCGAGCTGTCCCGTCGCACGGGGGAGCCCCAGCTTGCATGGCCATGGCAGGCCGCGTGGTCCCCCAAGGCCGGCACTCGATGGGGAACAGGAGACGGGGCCAGTCTGCAGCATGGAGTCATCATGACCCGCTTCCTTCCCTTGTGCTCCCCTCACTTTCTCCCCAGCCAGATATACTGCATAGAGAACGCCCATGGGCAGCTGGTGCGGGACCTGGACTTCAACCCCAACAAGCAGTACTACCTAGCCAGCTGTGGGGACGACTGCAAGGTGAAGTTCTGGGACACCCGAAATGTCACCGAGCCTGTGAAGACCCTGGAGGAGCACTCCCACTGGTACTGACTTCTCTGCATGCTGGGTCAGGGGAGGGGGGTTTGTAATTTATTTTGCTAATTCTTTTCCCATTTGGAAAGGCACAAACCAGCTTAGTTTGTGCTGCTGTGAATCATTCAATCAACCCGGTTTTATTTTTCCTAAAGAAACACTAATTCCAAATCCGAATGTTTGTGATTTATAAACATAGGAAAAGAAGAAAAACATTGCATTCTGTGTTCTCCTGAAATAGTGCTGGTTCAGATATGCAAAAACAGTGTGCACAGATGTTCACGCGGCATTGTTTGCCGTGTTGGGGAGTGGGAAACTGCCCTAATGTCCATCAGTAAGGATGGGTTAGGTCTGTCTGTGATGCCCATGCAGTGGGGATGGTGCTGTGGGTGAGGAGGAGACTAGCTCTGTGTGTGGGGTGGACAGTGCCCAAGAGCAGTTGTCGCTCCAGAAACATTATTTAGTGGTTACTGCATGCCAGGTATTTAGTGCTAAAGTAAGTGAGAGGTCCATTCCAGACCACTGTGCCTGGTATAAGCTAATTCTATTCCAGTGAGGCATGTGTGTATTTGTATGTGTAAGTGCACACGTGTGTGTGTGATTGTGTGCTGGTGTGCACGTGTGTTCGTGAGGGTGTGTGCACGCATGTGTGTGATTGTGTGCCGGTATGCTTGTGAGGGTGTGTGCGATTGTGTGCCTGTGTGCATGTGTGCTCGTGAGGGTGTGTGCACACGTGTGTGTGATTGTGTGCCTGTGTGCTCTTGAGGGTGTGTGCACGCTTGTGTGTGTGATTGCTTGTGTGCACGATTGCTTGTGTGCACGTGTGCTTGTGAGGGTGTGTACACGTGTGTGTGATTGTGTGCCTGTGTGCTCGTGAGGGTGTGTGCACGCATGTGTGTGATTGCTTGTGTGCACATGTGCTTGTGAGGATGTGTGCATGTTTGCACATGGGTGTGCCCCTCTTCATGTTAGCATATGTGCACTTGTGTGTGTGTTTTTGCTGCTTGTGTGTATGTGTGTATGTGGAAGAAACGTCTAGAAACTACTGCCAGGAGTCCTTGCTTAGGCCAGGGTGGGCACATTCCAGGAGAGTTGACTTTCTGGTCTGTGTTCCTAAATTCTTTGAATTACTTACTAGAAGGCATGTTTCTGCAGTCAGGACATTTATTTATTTTTTCTTTTTTTTTAAATTTAAATTCAATTAATTAGCATATAACATATTATTGGTTTTGGAGGTAGAGGTTGCAATCAGGACATTTAAAAACCTGGCATGCTAGAGTACAGTTTTGCCAGATTCCGGAAATTGCTGTGATGGCTGCTGTCCTCCCCAACCCCGGGTGCGGGCTGCTGGCACTCCGCTCGGCTCACTGAGCTCCCTGAGAGTGTGTGCCCTGGGCCCCATGGCCGCTGCTCGTGGACCTTGCCCTGGGGTTTGGCTCCATTGCCAGGTCTGTAATCTGTCCTTTGTAGTAGTTGTTGTGCAGTTGTTGCCTTTAGGACTTAGGAAGCCTGGCTGGCAGAGTGAGCAGCAAGCCCTCCTTTCCCTCCGAGGTTTGCGCTTCCATTTGGCCTTGTCTCTGCGGGCCAGGACTTAGGAGAAGGTTGTAGAGAGACACGCAGTAAGCCCGGCCCTCTGCTGGGAACTTCTCACGTCAGACCGTGCAGTCTGCGATCCACGGCCCAGCGACCCCGCTGTTACCCCGTCCAGGAAGGTCCGAGTAGAGCTAGAACTGCCTGCTTGCCTCCCAGGGTATGGAGCATCCGCTACAACCACTCGCACGACCAGCTTGTCCTCACGGGCAGCAGTGACAGCAGGGTCATCCTGTCCAACATGGTGTCCATCTCCTCCGAGCCCTTCGGCCACCTGGTGGACGACGATGACCTGAGTGACCAGGAGGAGCGCCATCCAGAGGAGAAGTAAGGGCGCACGCTCTCCGTGGTGTGGGGGCTCCCTTCTCCTGGACCCCCCCCTCCCCCCGCAGTCAAGGCGGCTCACGTCAGGAGCATCCGGGCGTGTGGTCGGGGCAGCCTCCGCCACTGCCGGCTTGGGGCTCACGGTTCTGCAGGACATCGGCACCCGCCACATGGGCCTGGGAGTCGGGTTAGGTCAGCTCACACCATCTTGTGTGGGTTCTGAAATGTGGACTGGTCCATGTCTGTCTGCTTTCTTGCTGAGCGCCACACAGGGGATTTTAAGGACTGTCACTAGTCTTTAAACGTTTGCTCGGGTAGTCATGAGAACTTGCTAGCCCCTGTGGGCGACAGATTGTCATCGGTGTCCTCTCCTCAGGCTTGGGTTTGAGATGTGTGGTCCAGTCGTTGGCCGGTGGCCCTCACCGTGGCGGGGTGCAGACTCCAGGCCAGCACTGTCAGCCCCAAACATGGGCGTTCCCCAGCCCTCTCGCCCCAAGGTTCCGTAGGGAACATGGGAAACCTTGGGGGCGTCTCAACAGTCGTGCCTCTTGGTTGCAAATTCGCCAATCCTAATTGCATCTGTTCAGGGGCTAGCTCTTCAAACCAGGGCTCATGCCCCCAAGAACAGTGGGGTTCTTGGGGGCCCAGGACTTATGCGGGTCCCACTCCTGGTTGGTGCAGAGCAGGGGCGCCCCAGTCCAGGGCTCACGTCGGAGCCCCCGGCTGCGAGCGGAGTGCAGTTGCAGCTTCTGTGGGCGGGAGAAAGAAGTCGGGAGAGCCCGTGTCTTCTGTCAGTGATGTGGACTTTAAAAGGGGACATTCCTTGTGTTTCGAGTAGACTTTTTCTCGTGTGGGGGAGCTGCATGCCGAGGCTCACGGCTGCTCTATCCCAGGGAGGGCGGTCTGGAATAAGCCCCAGTTGAGTTGATCAGTCGAGCCCAACGGTACAGTAGGGCTTGTCCTTCTGATTGAGGTTCTTTACTGTCCTGATGTCCGAATTCTCCCTCCACGTACCTGAGCTCGGCCTAACTTCACTTTTGAGAAGAGCTCTCAGTCCTGGGGCCTTTTCCACAGCTGTCTGTTTTCTGTTCAAGCACGTGGATGCACAGTTTGGAAACATGGTCCCGGTGGTTTTGGTGCAGTGACCTCCCGACCGCGGTGCCATGGGCTTTGGCGCTCCTCACCGGCCTCTCTGCATGCAGCCTCGTGGGGGCACAGCTGGTGCCCGTGTGGCTCACGGGGTGGGCAGGCCGGCTGATGCAGCGACATCGACATTGGTGTCCCCACAGTCCTGCTCCCGTGCTCTGTGCACGGGACTTACCAAACTCAGGAGAACAGAATCCGCAAGAGGATTTTCATGCGGCGTTGGTAACAAAGCCCCAGTTGGGCATGGCAGGTCCACGTCACAGGAAGAAGATGGATCCAGAGCACTGGAGGCCAGGGTGGGACCCAGAGGGCGGGTGTCTTGTTGGGGAGAAGAGCGTCCTCAGAGAGTCTAGGAGCGTGGAGTGTAGAAATGGGAAGAGAAGTGCCAGAGGAGCCCATGCCCTTGGGGTGGGCTTGGGGTGTGGCCACTCAGAGTGGACGGTGCGTGATGTCTTGTCCCAGTCGGCAGGCAAGTTCTGTGCTCTCCTGGCTCACGTGGTATCACATGGGTGGCGCCATCGGGTCAGGGTTCCTGGAGAAGGAGAACGGTCGCTTCAGTTTGAAGGGAGGTGACACGGGAGCCCTGGCGGAGTGCACTGTGAAGCCTGAGGCCAGGACCAGGGACCCTTTCCTGCCTAGCCAGTGGGGCCCGCGTGCCCCGGGCCAGCTCCACAGCTCTGCGCAGGGCAGGGCCACGCTGGCCGCCCCCAGGGTCCTTTCTGCTTCTCGTCACCCTTTCCTCAGCCCTCATGGGTGTTTGCGGTCACCAACCCCTGAACCTCAGGGCCCCTGGCCGACTCGCGGGCACCTGCTGGTCCCCAGCCAGAGAAAGCAAGGTGTCACCCGGTGGTAGCGTGGCCGTCCTACACCGCTGCAGGAGCTCCGCCCCTCCCGGCCGTGTGAGGGCATCTGCGGCCCAGGGCTGGCTGCTGTCGGCCCTCCCGTCTCGCAGATGAGGGGAGTGAGGCCCCGGCCGCCGGCCCCGTGCAGGATGCCCCGCCACCTGGCTCACGCATGTCCTGGTGCCTTGCAGGAGCCAGGAGCCCCCACGGGACAGCGTCATCGCGACCTATGAGGAGCATGAGGACAGTGTGTACGCTGTGGACTGGTCCTCCGCCGACCCCTGGCTCTTCGCCTCCCTGAGTTACGACGGGAGGCTCGTCATCAACAGGGTGCCCCGGGCGCTGAAGTACCATATCTTGCTCTAGCCCCGTCCCGATTCGTCTTTTGGCGGGTTCTCGAAAACATGCAGCTCCTGGGAGGCACTTAGTTCTCCAAATAGACTCGTGTCTGGGAGAGCCGGCGCTGCCTGCCCTCGGAGCCCTTGCGCGTGACGAGGAGCTCCTGCCAACAGCCGCTGACCCTGCCCGAAGTCTCCCCCGCCGATGACGGACGTCGTCCTCCCTGGGGCATGAGCCGTCCTGCTGTGGGTGGCTGTCTGCACAGCCACTGTTTGCTCTCCCCAGTCTCTGTCAGGGTGTTGGGAGTTTCATTAAAAAAAAAAAAAAGAACAAAAAAAACCCCACTTTGTTTCCATAATATTAACTCATTTTTCTCTTGAGATTAAATATAAAATAAAATAAGTAAGGCCATGCTACTCAGGCTCCTGTCTCGTTCCTTCAAGAACTCTGCCCCATGTGGCCTTCTCACCTGGTCTCTGTGATGGTCTCTGTCCCTGCCCAGAAGGAAGGCCGATGAGTGGAAGTGCCCCCGCACCCCTGCATCCAGGCCCAGGCTGTGTGTGGGCCTGACCTGGCTGTGTGCGGACCGTGGCGTCTGGGCGACTGGCCTGGGGGCTGGCCGTGACAGTGACCAGGTGTCCCCCGTCGGCCTCAGGCGCCCGATCCTGGGTGCTGCTCTACTGCGTCCTGCTCACATGACGCTGATGGCATGGGAGGTGCGACTCCTCGTCCCTGGAAGCCGCACGCGTGCCCTCGGTCAGTGCACACTCGCACTTGTGAAATGCCATGTCATGGTACTGACCCCCACTCCTTGGTGATCCTGAACACAGAGCATGTGGGCTCTTGCCTGGTTTTCCTCTGTGGGCCCAGGGGGAGGGGAGGACAGGTGGGGTTTGGGGGGGGACAGGTGGGCCTGGGGGGAGGGGAGGACAGGTGGAACCCAGGGAAGGGCAGGACAGGTGGGCCCGTAGGGGAGGGGACAGGTGGGCCTGGGGGAGGGGAGGACAGGTGGGCGCGTGGGGGAGGGGACAGGTGGGCCTAGGGGAGGGGAGGACAGGTGGGCCCATGGGGGAGGGGACAGGTGGGACCTGGGGGAGGGGAGGACAGGTGGGCCCATGGGGGAGGGGGGGACAGGTGGGCCCATGGGGGAGGGGGGGACAGGTGGGACCTGGGGGAGGGGAGGAAGATGTGTTTGCCGAGAACTCACCACGTGCCTCCCATGTGCCAGGCCGCAGGCATGGCAGAGAGCAAGGCACAGGTCAGTGCCTACTTGGAGTCTACACTGCTGCTGGGCAAGCCCTGTCTGCCAGTAGGTTGTGCATCGGTTCTGTTGGAGTAGAGATGTGGGCCTGATGCCAGGGGAGAACAGAGCAGGGCTGAGGAAGCGCTGTGGGGAGCAGGAGGCAGGAGCGGGATGGGGGATCTGATCCCGAACGAAGGGCCTGTCTGAGAAGGTGACTGTGGGAGAGCTGCGGCAAAGGGAAAGTGTATGCAAAGGCCCTGGGGTGCGGTGGGCCTGGCCCGACTGGAAGCACAAGAAGACTGGCAAGATGAGTGGTGGGAGAGGGCAGCGGGTGGCCCAGGACCTGAGGACAGAAGCCATGGAGCAGAGGCAGGGGCTGGTGGCTTGGGACCACGGTGGAGGCTTCGCCTCTGCTTTTGTTACTGTTTGTTGCTTTGGTGACAGTCTGAATTTAGCGCATGCAGAGATTCCCGGTCTGCATATGGAACAGTTCGTCACCCCCAAATCCCTGCTGCTCCTTGGTGGCCTCCCCTCCCGCAGCCCAGCCCTGGCAGCCTCAGTCTCTCAGAGGGTGTCCTGAGCAAGCGACCGAGGCGGGCACTTTCACTCAGCACAATGCCTGTCGATTCGTCGATTCTTCCGGTCACTGTGCGTGTTGTCTCCAGTGCGGGTGGCCACAAGTGGGGCCACTGTGAGTCTTCGCATCTGAGTGTTTGTGTAAACATCAATTTTCGTTTTCCCAGGCAGGCCTTGGCACACTATACCTGCAATCAAAATCCCCACCACCACCTGCTTTTGTCAATAAAGTTTTATTGGCACACGGCCACCCGTTCATGTACGTATGGTCCTGGGTGCTTTGCATGGCGGCGGAGCTCAGCAGCTGCAGTAGGGACTGTGTGGTCGCCAAGCCAAGAATGTTTACCCTCTGACCTTGCCCAAGAGAGTGTGCCGACCCCTGCCTTAGCGTCCACTTGCAAGTGTGCTGCTGGGCCTGGGCTGCTTGTTCTGTCCGCCATGCCCACTGGCCCCTGCAACGGCAGCCTCTCCCAGGTGTGTGGCGGTGGCTGGCGGTGGCTCTCACTTGTGCTTCCTGGGTGGCTAATGCTGAGGAATGATTGTGTACATACTATCTATATGCGTGTCCTTTTGGTGAAGCTCATTTTTTTTTTTTTTTTTTTTTTTTTTAGAGAGGGAGAGACAGAGTGCATGAGCAGGAGGAAGAAGAGAGAATCTTTTTTTTTTTTTTTTAAGATTTTATTTATTTATTTTAGAGAGGGAGAGGGAGGGATGGAGAGGGAGGGAGAAAGAATCCCAAGCAGGCAGCTCCACACCCAGCACAGAGTCTGACGCAGGACTGGATCTCACAACCCTGAGATCATGACCCGGGCCGACATGGAGAGTTGGATGCACCCCTAGCCCACTTTTTTTAGTTAAATTGACTGTTAATTATTGTGTGCTTAAGGACTAGAGATTGAGAGCTCTCCTGTGCTCCAAGGGCAAGTCCTTTGTCTGGCACGTGATGGGCAGGCACCTCCTCCCAGCTTTTATCGTTCCGTTCTCTTTGCTGCGTCTCCTGCAGAGCCCAGGCTTCGGGTTTGGTTGAGGTCCAGCTCACCCTTCCTTTTCTTCTGAAAGTTTCCTAGTTTTACATTTTACATTTGGATCTGATTCTTTTAAATAAGGCGTGAGGTTCTGCTTGCAGGTTTTTGTCCCGCAGAGATCTCCGAGTCTTTGGGCCCCTCTCTTAGGAGACTTCCCGCACTGACTTGCTTTGCTCTGTGTCTGAGGTCAGCTGGCCCCATGCGTGTGGGGCGCTTTCTGGACTGTCCGGTGGCATCAGTCTCGGTGTCTGTCACCAGGGATTTCTGAAACCACCTGATGGATGCTTTCACGGGCTCTTCCCTCTCTGACTCCTTCTCAGTGCTGTCTGGGCCACTGGCGCTCCCCTCCAGTGCCGCAGCCATTGGACTGGGGCTTTGCTTCCCCTGCTCTGCTGCACCCCTCCAGGCCTGGGCCCATGGCGGCAGGACACAGCTGCAGCCGGTGACCCTGCCAGGGACCACACCCTCTTGTCCGTCAGAGAGGAAGGGCCCCTTCCCCAGTCTCAGCTTCTGTATCCCCCAGTGGCTGCTGCTGTCCTTGCTGCCCCCACAAAATCACCGGGTGGGGGGAGGTTGGGATGCGAGGAAACAAGCCTTTGTTTACCTAAAATGACAGGAGATGCTCCACTGTGTGAAGTTCTTCAGCCAGAACTAGAAAGCCACACTGCGTCCAGCAGTGGGCGCTGGGGGAGGAATGAGTGAAAAGGCTCACAGCCATGTCGGTTGTCCTGGGGCTGCCTCTCCCTGCACCTGGGCTCCTTGCTGCAGGTGCACCGTGGACATGCAGGTGGGAGCAGCCAAGGGCTGCTGAGAGGCCAGCGGACAGTGGAGATGCTGGAGGTGGGTGGTTTGGGGATGGGTCTGCAGGTGGGGCTGTGGAATCTGCTGACAGATGAGAAGTAGGTAGGAGGCAAGGAGAGGAACCGGGGAGGGCCCAGCTTTTGGTCAGAGTGACTAGGATGGTTGCAGGGTGGGGGGTCAGGGAGGTGAGCAGCTGGGTTTGGGCTGTGAGTTTGAGATGGCCTGTGAGACAGCCCAGGGGCCACATCAACCAGTATATTTGGATATTTGAGCTGAGCTCCAGGGAGAGGGCTGGGTTCATGGGGAGAGGAGGCATGGGCAGCCCCGGGCTGAGCACCACGGTGTCAGTGCTGGGAAGATCAGGGCTGAGCCCCAGCATGAAGCCGTGGGGGCAGGGGCCTGCAGGGGAGAGAGCAGGAGCACAGGGGAGAGGTATGAGTGACCCAGTGCATGGGGTGTTCTGGAAGCCAAGGGAAGCAAGGGTTTAGGAGGGGACCCGTCCACCATCAGGTGTCACCTGGGCACTCGGGGGCAGAGCACATCAGCCTGGCAGAGTGGGGGTTGCTGGTGTACATGAGCTGCCAAGTCTGGAATGGGCTCAGCCATAGTCGTCTCTGGGGAGAATAACAGTCAATGCCCCAAAGCTGATCGTCTGTCTCAAGATAAAGTACTTGGTGGATACATGGATGGATACTTGAAATACCACTTAGGATACAACCTGAGTTTTCATGAAATTCGTGAAATAAATGCAAGGTCCTACTTACTTTCAGGTGCTGGAGCCACAGCTGGGCCCATTGCAGAGACGGAGCGGGTTCTTGGGCATGGTGCTGCCGTGCAGAGATGGAGCGGGTTCTCGGGCATGGTGCCGCTGTGCAGAGACGGAGTGGGTTCTCAGGCATGGTGCTGCCGTGCAGAGATGGAGCGGGTTCTCAGGCATGGTGCCGCCGTGCAGAGATGGAGCGGGTTCTCGGGCATGGTGCCGCCGTGCAGAGACGGAGAGGGTTCTCAGGCATGGTGCTGCCGTGCAGAGACGGAGCAGGTTCTCGGGCATGGTGCCGCCGTGCAGAGATGGAGCGGGTTCTCGGGCATGGTGCTGCCGTGTAGAGATGGAGCGGGTTCTCGGGCATGGTGCCTGCCGTGCAGAGACGGAGCAGGTTCTCGGGCATGGTGCCGCCGTGCAGAGATGGAGCGGGTTCTCGGGCATGGTGCTGCCGTGTAGAGATGGAGCGGGTTCTCGGGCATGGTGCCGCCGTGCAGAGATGGAGCGGGTTCTCGAGCATGGTGCCGCTGTGCAGAGAGAAAGCAGTACCTACGAGTCGAGGCAGATTCCATTCGCTCCGGTCCCGGGTGGACATGTGCCTCTTTAGCTTCCGTGCTGTCCT